GAACAGGTAGGGACGCCTATGATTTATAAGGTTTATAAGGTTTAGGGTTTAGTCAAGTACCTCTGGCGAAGGCTGCAAGTTCCATCGCATCATTCCGGACTTCATGTGCCAGGCAGATGGGAAGTTCTCGAGGCTGAGGTTACAAGGTTGGCTTCTCATTCCCCAAGACTGTACAAGGGATATATAAGAGGATCCAGAAGGGATTTACAAAAGATGTGTATCATCACGCTTAGATCACGGACCCGCAAAGTGCTTCAAATTTGAGAACCCGACAGACAAGTCAGTGACGGGTAGCTTGCGCATGAATTCTGCGACGGCAGGGGGGAGACTTCACCAAAGGCACACCGGCCGCTTCATCCGACCGCTTTTTGTTTGTGATGGGTTTGGGGTTTAGGGTTTAGGGGAGTTGGGGACTTCAGTTGCGTTGCCAGGCAATGGAACCGGTGGAAAGTCTATCTACGGAGAGAGCTTCGAGGACAGCTCTTGCTGCCGCTCGAAACGCCTAAACCCCAAAATCCTAAACCCTAAACTCGACTCCGAAGGACGAGAACTTCACCTTGAAGCACACCGGGCCAGGCATCTTATCAATGGCAAACGCAGGCCAGCTGTGGGGCAACAGATATGTGCCGAAGGCTCGTGAGGACTCGAGGATTCTTGCCGGAGTTGTTCAGACTTGTTCATGTCTGGTGCTTGTGACTACTGATACTGGTCTTGCATATAGCAGGTTTTCTCTATGTTCTAAGCATCACATACGATCTCTTCACTTCACCCTTGAGGCAAGAACACCAATGGAAGCCAGTTCTTCCTTTGCACGGTCACTACGAGCCACCTGGATGGTGCCCACGTGGTCTTCGGCCAGGTGATCAAGGGCTACTCTGTGGTAAAGGCAAGGTGTGCCAACTAACAGCATAGTCTTGCCAGGCCAGTCCATGCTGTCTAGGAATTCCGCTAGGACGAGGCCCCTTAATGTAATGGACCTCGAAGATCGAGCAAGGACGCCTCTCTCGGTGTGTAGCTGCACGCATACATATAGGTTCATGTAGAGCAATATACTTGCCGTCTGGCCCTAACCCCCCAGGTACGTACTATATAGGGTACTAAAGCCCCTAGGGTCCTATATAGTAGGTACCTGGAGGGTTAGGGTGGGCCTTCCTGCAGAGGCCATAGAGAAGGTTGGCAGTGAGAGTGGAGCTCCGTCGCTGCGTGTGACTTGGCTTTTTGTTTCAGGAGCATGCTGCTGCTGCTACTACTACTACTACTACTACTACTACTACTGCGGCTACGACGCCGACGACGACGCCGACACACATACCACGACAACGACCGCAACGACCAGGACACGCTACGACTGCGACTGCGACTGCGATGACGAGGAGGACGACAACCACGACTACCATTACCACTACCACTACCAGTACTACTACGCCACTGCCAGCTACTGCCGCTGCCACTGCCACTGCTACTACTCCTATTGCTACTACTACTACTACTACTACTACTACTGCTACTACTACTACTACTCCTACTTCTACTCCTACTCCTACTCCTATTACTACTACTACTACTACTCCTCCTCCTCCTCCTGCTGCTGCTGCTGCTGCTGCTGCTGCGACGACGACGACGACGACGACGACGACGACTCCTAGCCCCCACCCCCCCCCTTGCCCACCCCGCCCTACCAACCACCTGTCTCTTAAACCGTTGGGAGAGCAGGGAACAGTTCGGAGGAAAAGGCACCCATTAGGCATGCACACAAGGGTGGCGAAGCAGTTAGCTGCATGCGGGAAAACGGACCCTGCAAACAGCAGAAACTGTAGAATACGCAGGGAATCATCATCATCATCATCCTCGCCGTGGTCGACATCGTCATCATCATCATCCTCACCGTGGTCGTCAACATCGTCATCATCATCGTCATCACCATCACCATCATCATCATCATCATCATCCTCAACATCATTGCGCAGACGCAGAGTGGCTGACTCGTGTACCCTAAGCGCAACAAACGTACTGCTACTAGTCTTGTGACTGCAGGTAGTCATCAAAAACTGCGGCGAAGGTTCCGCAGAATCCTAGTCGCGGCCAGGCACGGGCTGACTGTGTGTCTTCTTCCATGTCTCGGCATGGAAGTAAATCCCAACCGTAATTTCCAAATTCTAAGCTTAAAGTCGGTTGAGGTAAGGTCGGAATTCAACGGGTGTGTGCTGCTGCCTCGGAGGTGAGGACCTTTGACAGCCCAGACCAGAAGGCGAAGTACTTCTCAAATTGGGTTGGGGTTGGCGACGTGGGAGCGCGGGGAAAGAGGATTTGAATCGAAATCGTCGTGCGAAGCTTGGTCTGCAAGTGCATGGGTTGAAGTGCTTCCCATACTGACGCTTGAGCCCCTGTCTTTAAGGCTTTAAGGGGGGCAGCTAGTCCGAGAGCAATCGTCACAGTTGTCAAACTCAAGTTCAACTTGTTGCAACTCCTCTTTAGGTCTAGGTTGCTAAGTGGAACAGCAAGAACCGAGCTTCTCAGCGGCATGAAGGGGCGATCTGTCCGGAGGGGTTCTCATGCAATCAGATCGAATTAATCAGGAGAGTAGACTGAGAGCTGTGCTAGGAACACCTGCCATGGCTTGTCTTGGCAGTGCAGTGTCAAACACTTTGGCCAACTCATTGCACAAAAGTCCTGCTGGGCTGGTGTGGCATCCAGCTCGATCGTCCAGAAGCCCGGCAAACCACCAAGAACCTCAGGCAGCACGACTCAGTGCAGTGCTGTGCTCGGCAGTGGCATCCTGTTGGACAGGTCGGAAAGGCAGACAGTCTGTGAACTTTCGAGTGAGGCGAACTGTCACTGCTGAGCGGACCGCACGAAGGGAAGAGCTCATGCAGCCCAAAACAGCCACCAGCAAGAAGTGGCACTGGAAGGAGAGCATTACAGTCCACTATGCGAAGGCTGCTTCCAAGATACCTGGAACTGACACTGCTGTCGTCTTGTTGCATGGCTTTGGTGTTGCCTCCTTCCACTACGAGGCACAGTTTGGTCCTCTAAGTGAGGCAGGCTATACTGTGTATGCGGCCGACAACGTCGGTGCCGGCTTATCCTGGCCAGACTTTGATCCGGCTCCGGGCACCCCCGAGGAGATTCGCAGCCCAGGGACGGAGTGGGGTTTCGGAAAGCCTAGGCCTCCTTTTGAGGAGATGGTCATTGGGGAGCAGTTGTGGGTGGAGCAGGTGAAGGATTTCATCGCCGAGTGCGTGGAGGAAAGTAACGTCATCATTGGGGGAAACTCGCTGGGAGGATATTTGACGGTTCTGGCCACAGCAACTATGAACACCAGACTCCTCGGCCGGATCAAGGGTGTCTTCCTGCTGAATGCCACGCCCTTCTGGGGTTGGATCCCCAACCGCTCCAAGAATCCGGACCTGCACGATGCTTTTCCATGGAAGGGCCAGTTCCCCGTGCCCGAGTCTGTGCGACCCCTTACCCTTGCATGGTACAACACCCTCAGAAACCCTGATTCCATTGAATGGCTTCTGAATTTCGTCACTTCGAACCCTGCCGGAGTCGGCCACGAGCTGGCCGAGCGTATCGCCACCATGGCCGACCACCCAGCAGGTGCTGCGGCCTTTGCTCAGATCTTGTTTACGCCACAAGCTGACTTGACCTTTGAGGAAGCACTGGACGAGGTGGTTAAGTGCAACATCCCTGTGTTCCTCCTATATGGTCGGGAGGACCCGTGGATAATCCCGTATTGGGCAGCACGTGCCTACACGACGGCGCCGGATGCAGACTATGTGCAACTGTCCCCCAGCGGGCATTGCCCCCACTACGAGACGCCCGCCGCCGTCAATGAATCGTTGCTCCGCTGGCTCCAGGACAAGAAACCAAGGATGGTTGTATTAGAGACGGTACTTGTATGTCGCTGTCCAAGATGTCTTATGGCAATGGCTGCGACCATGGTGATGTTGCTGTTGTTGTTGTTGATGATGATGCTGATGATGCTGATGATGATGCTGCTGCTGATGATGATGATGATTATGGTGATAATGATGACGACGATGACGATGACGATGATGATGGCGATGATGATGGCGATGCTGATGGCGATGATGATGACGATGACGATGGTGATGAGGATTGTGACTATGATGATGACGATGATGCAGGGCAATGACCGTCGAACATGTCGATACGCATATATGCTTTTTGGAATCGTTGCCGACTACGTACCTTATTGAAGACAATAAGTATAGGAGCACAATAGGTTAGCTCCTTGGCGACTACCAGCATTATTGCTAGGTGCCACCAGTCGCAGCTGGAATCACCTGCCTACAGGGTTACAACGCTAACCCAAAGCCCCCCCTTAACTCGTTGTAGGGATTAGTGGCCATTTTCCCTGAAGGACAAGGTTCCTGTGGATGGCCAGGGACCACGGCAGGATCTGCCAGGGTCGATCGGAGCTTCGTTCACCGTGAAGGAGAGCGATGGCAGAGAAGTGGTTGTCACTCGTAGAGGCTTCGCAGAGCCTTTCCGCGAGAATGAGTTGGCTTGGGATGAATTTCCGGCATGGCTCCAACAGATGGCGCGGGGATAGTGAGATGAGCGAGCTAGTATTGCAGAGGAGCTTTGCGCACGCTAGCGCCTCGATTGGTGCGTTGCTGCATGCTACCTTCTGCTGCGTTTCCAATTTTTTGAAGATTTCGACAGCTGAATCGAGCTTGTTTGTTGTTCTAGCATGGGGCTACATCCTGAGCTTCGTTATCCCCTGGGCGTTTCAACTTTTCCCATCAGTGCGCAAGGCCGGAGTCTGAAGCGGGATGCCTGTCAGAAAGATTCAGACTCACTGTACCAAGGCTGTCTGTTGCTCGCTTCACCAGGGCAATATTGCATTTGCAGCGATGTTCCGAGACCTCATGTACACGCATGGCAGTACACCCAATACATGTGAAGTGAACAAAGGCCGAGCCCATACACTTCGCTGAAAAATAAACCTAAACAACTCAGATGCAGCCTGCCCCTGTACTTGCATACACTCTTCATATCTCCCCAAACACTGAAACTCTCCGCTCCGCCATCATCGCGATGTGATGCCACTCGCTTTGTGACAAGATGACAGCGGCTGTTGGAGACTGAGCAATCCAACCAAGCTCTTACAGGTAGAGTCTATATGTTGCTGGCAGAAATGACGATGGCGCGAACAAACAAGTTTTGTCAGTAGTAGTAGTAGTAGTAGTAGTAGTAGTATTAGTAGTAGTAGTAGTAGTCGTCGTAGTCGTGGTAGTAGTGGTAGTGGTAGTAGTAGT